AGATATTTTAAAATCTTTGTTTTAATACCCCTACTTCTGTTTTCAGGAATATTTTTGATTTATTCTACTTTTGCTTATTTATTATCATTTCAATAGAATTTTTTAAAACACAACTTTATTTTTATTACCAGTTGAATGTTATCACATAGAAAAAAGAAAGCATTTCAATAGAGCTGATTTTCTTTATTTCATTTTGCCCAACTTGACTGCTAAAGATACCCTAAAGTATTTGGAGTCAGTGGGTGAAACTGGGAGGAAAATATTTTGCAGAGAGGAGTTGAAATGAATAGGGATCACTGATAATTGAAATTAAAGCTTATAGGGAAGATATTTAGGAAAAAGCTACCAGCAATTTTAATTTATTCCATTTTATTTCTGAGCATTATGGGGGTGCAAACATTTTGGTTACGTAATTTGCTTTTGTGCAGCTTGAGTCAAAATTTTAAGTGTGCCCATCACAAAATACCGTGCATTGCACCTGCTAGGTGTGAATTTACCCATCCCTTCCTCCTCCCTCACTCCTGCTTGGTTTCCATTGAATTTTAATACCATATGTGCACATGGGCATTGATCCATTTGTTCCAATTTAACAGTGAGTAAATCTGATATTTGTCTTTCCATTCTTGTAATACTGAAGAATGGTCTCCAGTTCCATCTAGGTTGTTAGAAAATGTTTCCATTCACCATCTTTTATGTCTGAGTAGTACTCCATAGTATACATATACCACATTTTTATTAATCCACTAATGTATTGATGGACACTTCGGTTGATTCACGTCTTTGTGATTGCAAATTGTGCTTTACTACATATTCCAGTGCATGTGTCTTTCTGATAAAATGATTTTATTCCTTTGGGTAAATGTCCAATAGTTGGATTTCTGGATCAAATGGTAGGTCTACTTTTAGTTCTTTGAGGTATCTCCATACTATTTTCCATAGAGGTTGCACTTATTTGAATCCCACTGACAGTATATAAGTATTCTCTTCTGTCCACATCCATTCCAGCATCTGTTGTTTGGGGACATTTTGATAAAAGCCATTCTCACTGGGATTAAGTGATGTCTCATTGTGATTTTGATTTGCATTTCCCTGATGATTAGAGACTCTGAGCAATTTTCCTATGTTTATTGGCTTTAGTCTATCTTCTTTTGAAAAGCATTTGTTTGTCTTTGACTACTTTTTTATGATTTTGTTTGATGTTTTCTTGCTGATTTGGTATAAGAACTTGAGTTCTTTATAGATTCTGCTTATCAATCCTATATCATATGTATAGCATCCAAACATTCTCTCCCATTCTGTAAGTTATCTATTCACTCTATTGATTGTTCCTTGGCTATACAGAAGCCTTTTAATTTCATCAAGTCCCATTTATTAATTTTTTGTTGTAGCCGTGATTGCCATTGGGGTATTCTTCATAAATTATTTGCCTAGGCCAATATGTAGAAGAGTTTTACGGCATTTTCTTCTAGAATTCTTACAGTGTTATACCTTAAGTTTAATTCTATTATCCATTGTGAATTAATTGATGTGACTGGTGAGAGGTGTGGATCCTGTTTCATTCTTATACATGTGGCTATCCAAATTTCCCAGCACCATTTATTAAATAGGGATTCTTTTCCCCAGGGTATGTTTATGTCTGCTTTGTCAAAGATCAGATGGCAATATGAGGATGATTTTACATCTGGCTTCTCTGTTCTGATCCATAGTTCTATATCTCTGTTTTTGTGCCAGTACCATTCTGTTTTGGGTACTATAGCCTGATAGTATAGCTTGAAATCTGATAAATTGATGCCTCTCAATTTAATCTTATTGCTTAAGGTTGCCTTGGCTATTCAGGGTTTTTTCTGGTTCCATATGAAGTGTAGAACTCTTTTTCTTAGGTCAGTTAAAACTGACTTTGGTATATTAATGGGAATTGCATTAAATCTGTAGATCACTTTGCATAATACAGACATTTTGACAATGTTGATTCTGCCAATCCATGACCATGATACATTTTTTTCATCTGTTTACATCCTCTGCTATTTCCTTACTCTGTGTTTTGTAGTTCTCCCTGTTAAGGTCTTTCACCTACTTAGTTAAGGTCTTTCACCTAGGTATTTTATTTTCTTTGTTTCTATTGTTCAAGATATTGAGTCTTTGCTTTGATTCTCAGTTTGACTATTGTTGGGATATATGAATTCTACTGATTTTTGAGCACTGATTTTTGTAACACGAAACTTTGCTGAATTTATTTATCAATTCCAGGAGGATCTTGGCAGAATCTTTGGGGTTTTCTAGATATAAGATCATATCATCAGCAAAGAGCAATAGTTTTACCTCTTCTTTCCCCATTTGGATACCCTTGATTTCCTTCTCTTGTCTGATTGCTCTGGCTAGGACTTCCAGCACTATGTTGAATAAAAGTGGAGATAGTGGGCAACCTTGTCTGGTTCCAGTTGTAAGTGGGAATGCTTTCATGTTTTCCCCATTCAGTATGATGTTGGCTGTGATGTCGGGCACTTTTTTTGTTGGAAGATTTTTTAATGTTTTTTTTCAATTTTGATACTTGATATTGGTGTTTTCAGGAATTCCATTTCTTTCTGCTTGAGTTCAGTGAGGCTGTGTGTTTCCAAGAATTTTTCAATTTCCCCCATGTTTTCCAGTTTGAAGACATAGAGATTTTTATAGTATTCAGATATGATATTTTATATTTTCATAGTATCAGTTGTGACTTCTCCTTTTTCATT